GGACTCCCACAGACGCTACCTACAAGAAAATTGAGGTTTTCGAAATGTGGTTTTATCGTCGAATCCTGAAGATTTCTTATAACGACCACGTTAATAACAAGGACGTTTTATTAAGAATGCAAAAAGGAAAAGAGTTGTTAACCACAATAAAAACAGCCAAAATCATATCATGGGGAACTGAGAAAGATATGGGTTGCTGCAATTAATTCTACAAGAAAAAGTAGAAGGAAAACGAGGACTAGGAAGGCGAAGGATTTCCTGGCTGAAATATCTACGTACGTGGTTCAACACAACAACCACAAATCTGTTCAGAGCAGGAGTTTGCAAAATACAGATTGCCATGATGGTCGCCAAGATCCGAAACGGATAGGCACTGCAAGAAAAAGATATTGGTTAATTATTTTAGACCAGGAGGAAATGTGATATTCTATGTTTTATAATCAACGTAACATGTCTTGTTATTAGCTCTATTTCTTGTAATATATTTTTCACTCCAATTTTATGTTACTCTTTTTTAATTGTTTACACGAATTACTACTCTATGTATAAACTCTTTATTTAACTCACGATAGTAACATTTTTCATGTTATATTGTTTAACATTTTCTATGTATTTATCGTATAACAATGTTCGGTATATTGCGATTCCCGATTGCTATTTTACTCTTACTATTATAATCGGTATCTTCCAGGCCTCTGCCTGTTATTTCTTCGTCTATTTCATACAATCAGTTGGATTTCATCCAACTTCGTCTGAATCGTCCTGTTCTTCCCCTTATATAGCTTCCACTCACTAACTTACTTCGTTAATTTTGTATTTTTAATTTTTTCCACATGGACGAACCATGAGTTTTTTTTATCCATTACATCATCTATTATTGTGTACTTTAGTTTCAAAATTTCTTTAAATCTGAAGTTTGTGACTTTTTTTGTTCTTGACCTTCTTGCTGCCCTTTTCTTCCTGACTAGCTTTTAGCATTTTTTGAGTTTTCTGTCGACTTTTAATAGCTATACGTCTGATCTATAATGATAATACTTCTGACCATGGTCCTGTAGATTATTTTCTCACTTTGATATTTCTATTCCATTATCTCATATTACTCCATCTGTACAAGCCACCAAGTGCTTACGGTAAAAATATTAATTGAAAAGGCCAACGAATATCAAATCCCAATGTATATGGCATTTGTAGACTTTGAAAAAGCATTCGATAAGGTGGAACATTGGTCAGTAAAGAACTCTTTACAAAATGGGAGAATAGACTATAGATAGACGGACTTAATTTTCATTATATATGATCAAGTAACAGCATCCATTAAAATATTTGAACAAACGGAGCCTATTAAGATACGGTGAGGAGTCAAACAGGGTATCACTATATCACCCAAACTATTCAATCAAGCTTTGGAAGACGTTATGAGGAAATTACAATATGAAAAACGGGGAAATACGTGATTGGCGAAGGAAGGCGATGGAACGGGACGACTGGAAAAAAATTCTTGGGGAGGCTAGGACCCATATAGGGTTGTAAAGCCAAAATGATGATGAAACGGGGCATTAACATAAACGGCCAATACTTGAATCAATTGAGATATCTAGACGACATTATATTAATAACAGATAAAAGGGAATAATTACAACTAGTTAAATTAAATAAAGAAAATCAGACCGGAGAAATAAATAGAAGGATACGGTTAGCTTGGATATCCTTCGGAAAATTTTCCTATATACTAAAAAATAGAAAATACCCCCAATATTTAAAAACAAGAGTCTTCAACCAATGTATACTTCCTGTTCTCACCTACGGTTCTCAAACTTGGACGTTTACAAAGGAAAACATGGAAAAAATAGCAAAGACCCAAAAAGCCATGGAAAGGCAAATGCTGAACATCAGGCTATCAGACAAGAAAAGAAATACTTGGATCCACAACAAAACAAAAGTGACCGATGTATCAACGCAGATAGCAAAACTTAAGTGGAAGTTCGCTGGACATACCATAAGACAGAAAGACGATGAAATAAGATGATTATACACTGGAGACCGTATAGTTACAAACGAAAAAGAGGAAGGCCACAAATGAGATGGTCAGATGACTTGAAGAAACAGGCAGGCCCGAAGTGGATACAAACTGCCCACAATAGAGAGAATTGGAATAAGGAAGAGGAGGACTATGTCCAAAATTGGACAGCAAGGGCTGTGTAGATAGATATATAGATCCCATATTACTCCATTAAGCAAGCCTTTTTTTCTTGTGTATTTCGGCCCTTAATACAGTATTGTGCGAATTAATGGAATCACTGTGAATTTTTTTTCATTTTTTCAATATTTACAAGAAAATGTTTTGGGGATGTTTTTCATACATGGGGGTTGGATTTTTGGTGCCGATTGAAGGCATGATGAACAGCCAAAAATACAAATCCATGTTGGAAAAGTATTTGGACAAACAACTCCAAAAATGTCAACCCCAAGGAGGAGCGATTCTTCAACAGGACTCTGCTCCCTGTCACAAATCAAAGGAAATGATGGCATTTTTCAAAAATAAGAAGATTAATGTTTTAGAATGGCCCGGTAATTCGACCGACCTCAACCCCATTGAAAATTTATGGGCCATTTGCAAAGCTAGACTGCGAAAAATCGACTGTACCACTAAAACAAAAATGATAGAAGCGGCCATTCAGGTTTGGTATCGAGATGAAAGGATATCTGACAACTGCCAGAAACTCATAGAATCTATGCCAAAACGGGTAAAAGCAGTAATTGCTGCCAAAGGGGGACATATTTCCTACTGAATGATGTAAGTTTACCTTTATAGTTTTGTCAAAATATAATTTTTTACTAAATAAACTGTTTTTTCATTAAAACAGCCTATGATTCCATTAATTCGCACAATACTGTAATACTGCAATACTGTATTCGTTCAGCTCGTTATGCGAGAGTGTTGTTCCTAAGTAATTGTAGTCTACGTAGTGTTTTATTATTGTCGATTATTTAGTTATAGGTATCTCAGTTATTTCCTAATATACGTGTACAAACGGCCCAATTTCATTAGGGCATCAAGAAGAGAAAGCATGGCCACAAACACAGAAAATGTTGCCCTACCGCTGAGATAAAAGAGATTCTCCCTACCCTGGCCAATCAAAAACCACTACGTATCTCAAGGTCAGAGATACAGTGGATTTGAGCAGCATGTACTCAGTGTTTTTCAGATTTACCTCTAATATCTATTTGTCCTATTGTCCAACCATATCACTTTCTTGTCATGCGTGTTTCGCATTAAACGCTTTCGTAGTATTGCGATATAACTACTTGGTAGTCTGCAAAGCTGAGTTTGTTGAGTATTTTTACCGGGTAGTAATTCCATTGTTCTACATTCTATAGACAACATCTTAGTTTAAATCATATAGTAAGCTTAAAGACGACCTCTAATGAATTTTCCATGTTTTCTCTTAAGTTCTTAAGCCCCTATATAACGTTTTAACAGATTTTATTGATTCGGTGTTTATAATAGGTGTTTGTAGGTTATTGTATGTCACAACTGAATATCTTGAAGGATCTCTAGACCAGACACGTACAACCTTTGTATTTTACCAGCTGTGGTGGTATGTTTTCGTCGTTTGTTGATAAGTTATATTTACATTTTCAAGATAACTCACAACTCTAAAACAGTAGAAGCAACTGAGATAGTAATTTGCGGGCTTACTAGTGCAGTAAACTGATCCCAGTTAAATTTGGACAAAAAAGTGGTACAGTAGGCGGTGCTGTAGACTTGCGTGAAGCTTTATACTATGTTTTTTGTATTTTTAATTTTTTAAATTTAATAAAGTAATTTTATTATGGACTCGAAATAGTAGGAAGAGTCCGTTTAAGCGATGAGGAGAGTCTGTTATACAACATGTAAACTTTTTCAATTTTATGAAAATGATTAAAAAAAAAAAATAAATAATAAAATTACTTAATTAAATTTTAAAAAGATTTAAATTTTAAAAATACAAAAAACATAGCATGATAGGTAAAATAAACTCAAACAAAACCAAATTTTTAGTCTTTAGTCGTAAACCACATCCAGATGCAGAGCTTCAATTAAATGGAGTCCAAGTTGAAAAAGTTCACAAAATTACAAATTTAGGAACTGTCGTAATGGACCCACTAGATCCAGACATAGAAATAAAACGAAGAATAGCAATGACTAAAGCTACTTTTATGAAAATGAAGACATTTCTTTGCAATAATCATCTCAGTTTAGAACTATATAAGACAAAGAATGGTTAAGCGCTATATTTGGTCTGTACTTTTGTACGGAGCAGAAGTGTGGACACTAAAAGTATCAAGTATGAACATAATTGAAGCATTGGAAATGTTTGATTCATAGACGGATGCTGAAGATACCTTGGATTGTCAGAAAAACTAATGAAGAAGTACTGAGCTGGATCAACAAAGGTAGAGAATTGCTAAACACTGTTAAACATCGGAAAATGTATTATCTCGGACATATAGTGAGGTAAAATCGATATAGAATATTACAACTGATCCTTAAAGGCAAAATAGAAGGCCGTAGATGTGTAAGAAGAAAATAAATAAGTAATAAGAAAACAGGTTTCTTGGTTAAAAAACATTCGTGAATAGACTCAGATACCAAATTCAGGACAATTATTCCATGTAGCAGAAGATCGAGAAGCCTTTGCAATGGTGATTGATAACGTCGGATAATGAAATAGCATTTAAACTTAAAGATCAAATTTATATCATTAAGTAACAATTTTTCATAAAATTAGACAATTTACAGCATTAAAAATGTATAATATTAATTCGCCCAATAATTGTGGGTATTAATATTTATTAAACTTTGGAGGGGAAGAGAAAGATGCATATTTAAAGACTTATAATACAATCCGGCAACGTAGAGTCTCGTGGGGTGAATGGACAGTTTTGTGACTACTCCTCGCTAGACTCCAGTTCGCCGCTTAGCGCGGCGCGTTCACCAGTATTTGTTTGCCACGGACATGATAACTTCGCCTTTGCCGAGCCACTGTTTACTGCCTAACAATAGTGCTCTATCTCCTAGTGTACCGAACAAGTTTTTAAAACGCTTCTTGTGGAACCAGCAGTGTTTTTTGTCCATTAAACAAGTTGTGACTCCGTATGTTGGGTTTTGGAATAGTTTTTTGTTCTTCCATCAATCCGTTCCAGTACAAATTATGGAAACAAGGTATTTTTTTTAGTTTCGTATTGTTATTTAGATGCGTGTAGAAGTAGTGGTAGTTAGATTGATCCTTCGGGGTAGCTAATTGGTCTTTGTATTCAGTAGACATGTATGGTAGCTCGCTTTGTGTATGGTTTCCATACCCCTTGCGTAGCCGCAAGGTCTCGTCGAAAATATTCTCGTGTCTGAATCGGAACGCCCAATCGTCCATAAGGTTCGTAACCCTAAATCCGACAGTCTCTCCCCTAGCTGCATATATCGACGATTCCAGTGCAGGCGAGAAGGGTGTGTCGTATTTTCGTTTCTTTTAGAATCGATTTAGGAAGCGAGTTTTTGTTTTTAATTATGTTGATTATACACAAAGCCAAGCTATCCCTACCAGTATAGCTACCTACCAAATTTTTGCAAGGTTATTAATAAACATCTGTCGAAATACTAACACAGTATAGTTAGTTTAAATGTATTAATTTCTAGATAAGATGTCAAATACATTTTCTTTTCTCCAAGGTTAAAATTGTGCAAAATGGAATAATTGCTTGGTGTTTCAGCTGGTAATTATCTTTTTCTTTGACCATATTGTACCATTGTTTACTTTTATCTCTGCAAGCCTTGGCCCCACCATCGCGTTGAATTTTTTCCATTTTCTTTAAATAGAACTTTATGTCTTACCCCACGCATTGAATTCTACAGAAAATAGACATATCGGCATCGTAAACAAACATTGTTGTTTTGATATATGTATTTTATTTCAATTTTGTACTGTGTACCTACATTGAATTTATTTTGTTGTTATCGGCCTTATTATACCTTTGTACCCATATTTCTATGCCTAGATATCACAGCTTAGTGCTTGTCTACTAGTGTTGATGAATACTTATTATTCCTTTTTTACTAAATTAATGTGAGTACAGATTATTTCTTTTTGTTTTCGCCTTTTAATCTAAATAAAAACTACAAACTGACGATCATTATAAGGTTTTTGATTTTATTCCACTGTTTTAGTTTTATTTTTGGTGATTTTTGTAGTTATTTATTAGCGTTCTTCAAATTGTCAATAAATATTATTTCTTCCGTTTGAAATAATGTAGGTCTAACACAAATTAAGACATTTTTCATTTAATTCTACTTTTCGCCTTTCTTTTAATCCTTGATCTCTGCACAAACACTTTTGGTTAAAGTATGAAATATTTGTTATTATATATTTTTTTCGTATTTAGCTTTATTTAATCCTTATTGTACCATTGTTTTTAATTTCCAGTTTTATATTTTTATTTATTACGGCGTTTGTAACTATATTTATTTATTTATTAAGCTCAACAGCCCTTGAAGGCCTAGGGCTGAAAGATTTAATTTTTCCTTACAATTACTATTACATTTGTTTATATAAAAGACTTAATACTACACATATTTCTTATAGTCTTTCCATACATTTCTTCACCACTTCCTTCCATTGTTTTCTGTCCAAAGCTTTTTATTTCCAGTTTACATTCCTTTTTTTTGTCTTCATATATGCTGTCCTTCCATCTCCTTCTTGGTCTTCCTATTGTTCTTTTTTGTATTGGTTTACGTAATAGAACCATTTTTGGCATTCTTGCCTTTCCCATTCTTTCGATGTGTCCTCGGTATCGGATTCTCTGTGCTTTGATTGCCATCATTATTTTTGGTTCAGTAAGTAGTTTTTCAAGTTCCTTATTATTTCTTCTCCATTGTCCGTCTATTTTCACGCCTTCATATATTGCTCGTTGTATTTTTCCCTCTCATCTTTCTAAAAGGTCTATTTCTGATTTTTTTTAGCACCCATGTTTCGCATGCATATATAGCTGTAGGTCTGATAACTGTTTTGCAGATTCTTATTTTTGTTTTTCTTGAGAAATATTTGGATTTCATTAATGGACGCAATGCTCCATGCTTTTGTTTGCTTTTGCTATTCTTGCTTTTATCTCCCCTTCCCCATGTCCCTTTTCATCTAGTTTTCATTGAGTTTTTTTCTCCGTCTACCTCCATTGTGAAATTGTCTTCTTTTTCTTTATCTGTTTCTCCCATTATCATGTATTTTGTCTTTTCCTTATATATGAAAAGCCCAAAAATTTTATTCCTTCCAGTATTACATTAAAGAGTCGTTGATAGTGGGTGTCCTTGTCTTAATCCTTCCTTTGTTTCAAAATTATTTGATTTATGTTCCTTCTATGCTATTTCGTTTGTGGAGTTATCCATAGTCATCTTGACCATCCTGACGATTTTACTTGGTAGGCCCATTACATCTGTTTACCATATCGTAAGCCTGTTCAAAGTCGATGAACAGGACGTATACTGCCATTTTATGTTCATAGCACATAGTCTGGATTTCTTTTAACGCAAATATTTGATCTGTCGTCAACCTATTACTTCTTAATCCTGTCTGATATTCGCCCAATATATTTTCCGTGTATTGATTCAGCTTTTTTCTTATGATGTTTGTCAATCGTTTGTACACAAATCTAGCAACGCGAGACCTCTATAATTTTCGCATCTCATTTTGTCACCTTTTTTATGTATACGGCATATCCTTGCCCTGGCCCCTTCTCCTGGCATTCTTTCTGTTTCCCATATACTTTTTATCAGGCTATGTATCTCCTTGTGTAGTCTTATTCGTCCTGCCTTTATCATTTCCGCCGATATTTCTATTATTCCTGGGCTTTTATTGTTTTTTAGTCCTCTTATTTCATTTTCTATTTCTTCCCTCTCCCTCGTAAGTGTTTCTATTACTATATGATCATCTTCAATTTCCCCTTTTTTCTTCGTTTTTGTTTAGAAGTTGTGTAAAGTAAGTTTGCCAATTTCTCATTATTTCCCCAGGTTCATTTGTTAATATTCCTTCCTCATTTTTTAATGGGTTATGTTTCTGATATCCCCTTTCCATTTTTCTTGTTTCCTGATAAAAGGATCTTATTTCCTTTTTTGGAATTTTTTCTCTATTACTTTGAGTTTTTTTTCGTTGTATTTTCTTTTTTATTTCTGCATCTTCTCTTCATAATTCTCCTCAATTCTCTATATTCTTGTGTGCTTTTGTAATAATTTCTATGTATTATTATTCCATGTTTATATTAAATTAAAAAGTACATAATCTCATACAGTTTGCAGCATTCTTGAAACTTAAATCTGATGATTAACGATAATCCTATGTCTAGTTATCAGGTTTTAGTAATTGTATGCTACTGTTGATTATTATTTCCTTTCTTTACAACAGTTTGTTTGGTATCGATAGAGTTATAAACTCGAATTATGTATGCAAAACATTTACCTCTGTGTAAAGTGTATACCTCTGTAATGTTCACATCAAAAAAGGTCTCAATACAATAGAAATGGATTTCTACAATTATTATTATTTAAAGACATAGGCGTGCTTTCGGGTCATATGGTTGATTAGCGATTTGTCCCTAAAGTATGAAGGAAATAGAAAAATAACTTTATATTATCGGCATAATCTTTTTATTTCAAACGCATTGATAAAATATTTCTATATTTCGCTTGTATGTTTATAGATATATCTAGGAGCGTGAATAAGTCTTAATTACTACTTAAATAGTAATTAATTTAAAATGCCACAAGAAAATACCTTCAGAACAATATGAATAAGTCTTGATACAATAGAAAGGTTATAATATAAATAGAAATGGATTTTTGCATTTATTGGTGTTGGCAGCCTTTGATTTGATCAACTTCCGTCTTTCCCTTTGGGTAGATGGTTTTTTTTTTCATAAAACAACTGTTTATATCTTCAATTGGACTGAACATCGCCTAAAAAAATTACGGAATATGTTGGCATCAGCTCTATCATTTGTTCAAAGTATTTAAAAACACCGTTCATATCTTCATTTATGTAAACTGACTTACACTGTTAGTAAACCAGCATCAAAAAGTCATTTGCACTACAATTTTTCTCTATGTTTCTCCTCTAACGTTTTAATTCCTGTATCATTTTCTAACGCCTATCTCTTCCTATTTCGGAAAAGCATTCTTTTATTACTCACAAAGTTTTATCCAAATCAGGAATTTCATAATTAAAGTAGAAGAATTTCCTTTAAATTTGTTTAATTTATGTTTGTATTTTGAGAACACTTTCCGAAGTGGAAAATGAAACATCAATAAACTTATTTTAAACTTCAGTTGTGGCTTATTCACATTAAAATAGTACTTAATTGCTTTAAGATGCCACAAGAAAATAGCCCTAGAACAATATAAAGTAGAAGGAAAGCACTTTTCTTTTTATGATCTTTTTTGCCTTGATTAATAGGTTTTCTAAGCCTTACTTGCGATGGTACTGGTTACTTCATGGTTCCATTCTATTCGTTTATTAATTTTCTGCCCCTGTTTTCTATTTTCCCTAATTTTTAGATTTTGTTTAGGATAAAATCCCCTAATTATAACTAAAGGTTATCTGTTTCTTTTAAAATAGTACAAACAAAACAATTAAACTAACATACAATGTCTGTTTTTTTTTTCGTTTCCTTTAAATAATAAGTTTTTATTTTGTATGATTTTTCTCAATTGACAATTAATGTTGATCATTGTCTGCATCCTATTATTATGTAATATCTATATTGATGTTATGGTTAAGAATATAATAAGATAGAGTTAGAATTATTCAAGTATATGGAATAAAGCTATATATTTGTGAATATTTTGTGTTGTTCTGGTTGTATCCGATATTATCATCTTCAAATAAATAACTGTTTCTAATTTGAAGTAAAAATGGATATGATTTTTATCTATGTTAGTTGTATCAAGTTCCCAATGCTTAGTTATATCTTTTGAACAGTAATTCTGTAGAAGATTCCAGAGAAACAAATAAAATTTAAACATAAGTAGTGTTACTTTATACCAAAGTTTGAAATGTACTGCTTTATCCATTTGACATTGGATAGACCTAGAATGACCCAGACAAATCAAGAAGTTATCAATCTCGTTTGCCTTTTATCCAGCCAATTTGGATAATACACAAAGATGTGGGTAAAACTAGATTTACC